TGGACAGTGTCTCTAAATGAAATGAATAAATCACATCGTCTTTGAACGACCTCAGACCTCTATTTAATCTTCCATTCGCCCAGTGATACTTTGAGAGATCTCAGAAAGTACTGAAGTAGAGAAAGCTCAAAATCAGGACAGAGAATTAGCTAAATAAGAAGCAGGAAGAGTAGCTAAAACAAGGACTACGCCGCTTTGCGCGGCATGGTCCTCATGCTGCGGCTACGATAGCGCTTGTGCGCAGGTGTGTGGCACTACGCGGCGTTGACCCCCTTAGACGCATTGTATTTAAGGCAATGTGTGCGAAGATAAACAAAAAAATGAATTTCTACCGCCTCGAAATACTGGTTCTTCGAAATTTTCGGGTGAAGCATGGGACGCTCCACCAAACTAGAATTATGGCGATTTTTTCCTCCAGGCCTCTACAGATCGGAAAGAAAAAACATCTGTCAAAATCAGGAAAAGCTGTAGCGAATGACACCCTAACTGTTTTTCTCTAATGATGTTGTTAAACGATGTTTGGGATAAACAAATATCAAATTAGGTAACATCAAACTAAAAATTTCAGAATATTTTTAAAAAGCCAGCTATCGACGCGAAAAGATTATTTTACATTGGGTTTTTTTATTCCTTCTAACAGCTAGCAAAGCGTTTCCAAAGGTTCAAAAACGAAAATTCAAAAAAGCAAAAGTTAGGGTAGGTAGAAACCATGGATCGAACGTTCTGGCAATTTTACAGCAAGCATTAAAGGAATCCAAAAAAACCATTATTGAATGAGGTGGAAATTTTGCATAGAACACATTCTAAGCGTTTGTTTATCTTTAGTTGATAATCGTTTGAGCTTGCTAAGCGTCGACCAAGATATCAGCCACACTTTATTCACGGCCAACGTTTCGGCGGGATCGCCTTCGTCAGAGCCTAGAAAGTCGAAAACATAAGCGAAACATTCTCCTAGACGGCAAGATTCTAGCTCAAGACGAAAGTCAAATTGGAGAGAGGCAAAGGCAAAGAGAGATCGGGTAATCAAGACTCACCTTCGATAACGTGTGATGATGCGTTAGACCACCATATACTCAGACTATACCTCTTCCCCTATTTATAGTGCTCGGGTGACCTGACCTCATATCAAAACCCACAGAGGTATTGATATGGCGCCAGTTCATTGGTGATGGCTATGCACTCTTCCTTCCGATTCATCTTTGGATTCTTGGCGTTGATCCAGAACGCTTCCAAAGTTTTGCGCGCTAGGAGGTCGGGCTCGTACGCTAATATAGCCACTCCAATACTAATCTCAGCATTTTCATGGCACGAAATGCGATGGCTGCCTAACGGCGTAGCTGCTTTCAGTTTGTTCAACCCATCCAGGTGTTCTTTAACGCGGCAGCAAAGAGGTCGTCCTGTTTCTCCGATATACGTATCACCACACGATAAACATGTGATGAGATAGATAACCCCGGAGATCATGCAATCACCCTCTTTGCCAAATGGGCAAACGACACAAGCTGGGGTTAGACATGTACGATCGTAAGATCGATTTCGGACCAATTGGCGCCTTAGGTTCGAGGGTGGTATATCGACCACCCTGACATCGTCTTGCAAACCCGCGAGATGTACGCATCGCCGCACTGCCGCGCTTATCTTATCCGACACGAATGGCAAGCAGAAAGCGATTTTTGTAAGTGGCGCATCCGGGCTGCTGGAATGGCTCTGCGTCCTACAAACCCGCAAGGGTTTGGGATAGGCTCACCAGCATACCCATTAGACTTAGCTACTTGATAAGCTAACTCCATAGAGTAGATTCGCTCTTGAATGCCCGAAGACACTTTTGCTGCTGTCCGATACATGTACTTTATAACCGCATTTTTAAGCTTGCTGGGATGCGCAGACAAATAATGTACTAAAATGTTTTTACAGCTGGGTTTGCGGTACCACCTAGTT